CTTCTACTGCTGGGTTCTTGATGGGGCACTGGGTTCTTACAGGAAGCCACTTATATAGGGACACAGAGCAGCAAGAATTTCCTGGGACTGGGACAGATGGGGTCAGGGGTTATCAGGACATCGTATTAGTTTGGAAAGAGAAAGTTCTGTGGACAGACAGCAACTGTAGCAGTCCAATACTGGAGCCTTCACATACTAAGCTGAGTGCATAAAAGTGGTTAAAATGGATTTTTTTATGGCATGTGGATTTTACCATAATTTTTTTTAAAAAAGTAGCTGTGAAGAACCAGTGTGAATCTGCTGCATTGTATAGAGGTAGCTATAACCTGTAAGGGACCCTTTCCCTCAGAACTGCTGGAGTCCCAGGGGTGGGGTATGCCAATGTACACGTAGAACGAAGTGTGTTGGGGTCTATCTCCCCTGCTCTGTCAGTCAAAGCAGGAGACAGGCTACCTGTGCCCTATAGTCAATACCTACGGCAGTCTCTTTTCAATGACTGGGGCTGAGTAGAGAACAGGTCAGGTGCCCTTGGGGATAGGGAGCAGAGCTGATTTACCCCCAGGACTCTTCTGCCCAAGTACCCTGTCCTGTGCTGCCTGCTGTACCTTCTCCCCATCTTGCCCTCCGTTTGTTAAAGGAGCTCGTTTTGCCTATTGATATCTCTGCCCTCAGCATCATCAGCTGGTTTGTTCGGTCCTTCAAGTACGTGTATGGCCTTCGCTTTGAGGTCAGCGGACAGAAGAAACTGGAGGTGGATGGTCCCTGTGTCATCATCTCTAATCACCAGAGCATCCTGGACATGATGGGTAGGCTGCCACCAAGGCTTGGCACAGAGATGATATCTTTTTCAGCATGGGCCCTGGTGGGCTGGGGTCTCTGGCTGGGGCTAGCGCAGAAGAAGACCTCCATCAGGCTAGTCAATAAGAGCAACAAGCTGTGCCAGATATGAGGCACAGGACTGCACCACTTTGGCTATTCCCCAAGAGAAAAGACCAGGCCAGAGTCAGGGGTGGGCCCCTTCTACCCCAGGGAGAGCCAAACTGGGCTCTGAAGCTGTTCTCTCTTCTCCCTCTCCCGAAACCCTACCTCTCTCTCCATTTTGTCTGTGACTCTCCTATCTCTTTCTTCCATTTTTCCCTCTGTCTCTGTGTCTCTGTCTCCTCTTCTCTCCCTCCTGTGTCTCTCAATCTCCATCTCTGGTCTCTGCCTCTATCTCTGTCCTCTCTCTCTCTCTCTCTCTCTCTCTCTCTCTCTCTCTCTCTCTCTCCCTCTCTCTCTCTCTCTCCCTCTCTCTCTCTCCCCCTCTCTCTCTCTCTCCCCCTCTCTCTCTCTCTTTCACTCTCTCCCTCTCTCTCCTCTCTCTCCTCTCTCTCCTCTCTCTCTCTGTCTCTCTCCTCTCTCTGTCTCTCTCTGTACCCATTCCTGGGTCTGTCTCTCTTGTCGCTCTCTGGTCTCTGCTTCCTCTATCTCTCCCTTGCCTGCTTATCCATCTGTGTCTGTCTCTCATTATCTCTGTCTTCCTCTCCCTCTCTGTGTATTTCTCCTATGCTCTAATCCTCTTTCATTGTCTGTCTCCTATGTCTCTCTCCTGTCTCCATCTCTCATTCTTTCTCCCACCCTCTTCTCCCCTCTCCCTCTCTCTTCCATATAGGTCTCATGGAAGTCCTCCCTAAGCGCTGTGTGCAGATCGCCAAGCGTGAGCTAATGTTCACAGGGCCTGTGGGCCTCATCATGTACCTTGGGGGTGTCTACTTCATCAACCGCCAGCAAGCCAGAACTGCCATGACTGTGATGGCCGACCTGGGCAACCTCATGGTCAAGGACAACGTGAGTATAGGCACAGCATGGCAGGATAGCCTACTACAAGGAGCAGCATGGCTTTCGGGGGTGGTTACACAGGGTGTGGGCAGCCTAGGCAGTTTTTTCCTTTCTACTGGCAGCTCAAAGTGTGGATCTACCCAGAGGGTACCCGCAACGACAATGGGGACCTGTTGCCCTTTAAAAAAGGTGCCTTCTACTTGGCCATCCAGGCCCAGGTAGGCCAGGCTCCGCCCTCCTGGGATGGGAAGCTGGGACATGGGTCAGGGTGGTTTAGGGTTGAAGATGAAATCCTAGCTAGACTGGGGACTGCTGGCCTTCAGGGACCTCTTCCACCTTATTAGGAAAGGGCCTCCCCACCAGCTCAGTCCCTACTACTTGGACAGGTTGGTGACCATTGGCAGCTCTAAGAGCTTGACTGCCAGTCTCACCACACCCTCATTTAGGGGTTCATGAAAAGTGGAGATGGGTGGCCGGTTTACTCAGTATACTAAGGCAGACATGCCTAGAAATCCCCCTGATGCCCCAGGTCCTGGGTTTTGACCATAGTGAGGCTGAGGAGCAGGCATAGGCAAACAGCAAACCCAGTTCTGAGAAGCACACATGACCTCTCTCCTGGACCTTGTACTTCCCTTGCCTCTTAACCTGTGAGGAGAAGGTAGTGTGTATCAGAAGTGTCCCTGAGTGTCTGCCATGCCCCTTGTCCCTGCTGTGTGGGGAAAGCCACCACTGGGCAGACAAGGGAAGGAATTTTATCCTGCTTTACTGATTGCTGCCTGGCAAGCCTCAGCCCCATCAACCCTGTGGCAGCCAGTCTCCTGGGTTTCTGGTGCCCAAGCCTATACAAGGTGGCATGTACCATTTCCCTGAGGTTCCCATCGGTTCGAGGGACTTGGGAAACTCAGGCTGGAACAGGCAACTGCACTATGACCTCTGATCTAGTGAACAGGTGGTCCTTGGGCCTGGGATTGAAGTCATGGTCTTCCTTGGCCTTGAGGTATTGGTAAACCCCAGGGAAAGAGAGAAACTAAGAGCTGTGGAGAGGGCAGAAGAATCCAGACATATCATTTCCTGCCCCTCCCCCAGGGCCTGGCTAGGGTACAGCCTACCTACCTTCTTGCCCAGGCTCTGGCGCCCAGGGTTAATTATTACCCCCAGTACTACCTGCCACCACTGGAGTTGACCCTGGGGCCTTCCAGGCATATCAACAGGCCCCAGCCCCTCTCCCCTAGTTTCCTGGGAATAAGAGATGGGGTGAGAGGGCAGAGGGGATCCATCCTCCACCTCCCCAGTGCTGGCTAAAACCCTACCCTTCTATTTCTAGGATATTTTTGACCTGGGGTGGGGGGGGGGTGCATGACAAACAAGTACTTAGCCCAGAGGGCTTCCTGGAGGAGGTGGTATGGGAACAGGATGAGTCTGTGAAACTCCAGGCCAAGCTGGATGGAGGCGAGGCACAAGGCTACCTAGCAGTAGCACAGCTCCTGTGTACTGTGGCCCTTCAGCACGCATCCCTGTCCGCAGGTGCCCATCATCCCTGTGGTGTACTCCTCTTTTTCTTCCTTCTACAACGTCAAGACGAAGCTCTTCACCTCAGGTGAGTGAGCCGTCAAGCACACAGGAGCTCAAGAGCCTGCCATGTTCTCTGTTATTTACTCTTGAGTCAGGGTTGTATGTACCCCAGACTGAGGATGACCTTGACTCTCCCGCTTCCACGGTCCCAGTGCTAGGATTGATGATAGGTTTGTACTGCCTTGCCTAGTTGATGTGGTGCTGGGTTTCACACATGCTAGACAAGTACTCTCCCAACCCCGTCATGGGTCCTTTCTACTTCAGCAGTACTTGGGCCCCTACTAGCAGAGTTCCCACTTCTGGGTAGTGAATGAATGAATGAATCTGGAACAACCATCGCATCATCTCATTGCTTTTTCTAAATGGGTTTTTCTGTTTTTCAGGTTGAAAAACAGGTTCTAAACAGGGTAGAGTTCTTGTGAGCACGGCTGGTCCAGGCTGTACAACAGAAATAGGGACCTATAGCGTCCCCTGCTGGTGAGGGGTGGGATTCTAAGCTGTCTAGGCTCCCCTATATGGGGCAGATCACAACTGCAGCCTCTGCCTCTTCCACGCAGGTACCGAGTCTGCATGTGGGTGATGCATGTGGGAGTCAGCGTAGTGAGAGGTTTAAGGGCAGTGGGATGAGCCAGACTCTGTCTCCAGCATCTGAGCCCCAAGTGCCCAGCACCAAGGAGGACAGAGGAGCAAGTGTGTTAGGGGATGACTAGGGATCATCCTGAGTGCAGTTTTGGGAGCACGGATACCCTGAGTCATAGTGAGTGGCTTCATGGAGGCAGAGTTGCTAAAGATCCCTGGGCACACATGTTGCCTCAATTTCAAACATGTGTACCTTGCCTAGGAGTTGCAGATGGCCAAGCTCTGGTAAGGAGAGGCTGGGCAGCAGGAATCCGGGTGAGTAGGGGTGAGGGACAGCACTATGGAAGCCTCTAAGCCCCTGACATCCACTGCTTCCTCCACAGGAACAATCAGGGTACAAGTGCTGGATGCTGTCCCTACCAATGGCCTTACGGATGCTGATGTCACCAAGCTTGTGGACACTTGCTACCAGTCCATGAGGGCCACCTTTCTACAAATTTCTGAGATTCCCCAAGAGAACTCTGCCATTAAGGAGCCTGGGGTCTTGCCAGCCCAGTAGCCCAGGCTACAGGGGCAGGGGAGCTGGGGAGACAAGTGGGAAGCAGAGGCTGAAGGATGGGTAGAACCACAGCCTTCCACTTAGCAAACATCACCGTATCCTGCTCCCCTGCTGGCCTGGCTCTCACCGGGGCCTGGAAACATGAAGCCCTTTCTGGCACAGGCCTCAGACCCGGGACCCTGTGTAACTTCCCACCTCAAGCCTATGCCTCCAGAATCCAGTGTGGCCATCCAGCAGGTGGGCTGACCCACAAGACCACAAGACACTTAGGAGCGGGCAACACGTTATCTAAGGCCCATCATGCAGAACAAACATTCAGAAACCAGGTAGTGGCCTGCATCAGGCCATCATGAAGAGGAGGAACTTGGTCTCCCAGTATCAAGGAAGCCTGGTTCACATAGCACCAGAGGGCAGAGCCTGCCACCCCCACCATCCGACGGCCTCAGTCACAAATCACTGCTGTACTTGGTTCTTTTTTTTTTTTTTTTTTTTATAAATGAACTCTCAGAAGTGCCTAGAGACCAGAGATCTCTTTCAGAGGGTGGGTAAGAGTTCTTTCTTCCCCAGGCCCTCATCCAAGGATAAAGGGCAGTAAAGATGGCTGCCCATCTCTGGGCCTGCAGTGTGTAAGTTCTCTCCTCCCCACAAATTGCCTGCAGGTGAGCTGTGATCAGCCAGCATTGCTTTACTGTGGGGTCCATGGCATGCAGACACGGGCTTGGCCACATGAGGGCATAGGCTGAAGAACTGCCTTTTAGCCTCTGGCTGTGTAGGGAACCAGCAAGGGAAAACTGGGACCTCAGGACTGCCTACTGCAGCTCCTTTTTACAGAAAGACCCTTCACTTTACCTGAGGCCTATAAGGCAGGAGAGTGTCTGACAGTGTCTGTGCAGTCCTGATTCAGCCATTGACAGCAGCTCAAGTCCCAGCTTTATTATGACAAAGATGGAGACAGTCTCCACCTTACCTCTTAGGGAGCTCTCATACCTTTCCTGGAAGCCCCACTGAAGAGTCACACAAGACCCCACGCTCCATGCCCAGGTCCTAGAAACCTCTTAAAGAGGGGCAAGCAAGCAGGGCCTTCTGCTCACAGGCACCACCAGACAAACAGCACCTGAACTTTGGCTAGAAGGGATCTAGGGATGACAGCTCAATCCAACCTGGGCGGTGAGATGCTATCACAGATCTTTTTTGCAAGAGCCTAGGGCAGGAGAGGAAAAAGGGTGTAAACTTGCATATCCACCCATCCCAGAGGTAGTTCCATCCACCCAGCTCTGCGATCCACCCAATAGGCTCCCTAGGATCTCTGTGGGTGGAGAGGTGTCTTGTGGAACTCACAGGATCCCAGCTGTTCCTCCAAGAAGGAGACTTGCTCACTCAGTGAATCAATTCGGTCCAGCTGCTGAAAGGAGTGGGCCAGCAGGCTGCCAGGATCTTGTAGCCCATGCTCTGTGGACCGAGAGGCCAGACTGTACAGTGGGGCCAGCACCAACTGCAGTTTCTGTTTGGAAGGAAGGTTGCAAAAAGCCAAGCGGCCTCTTTGACCCCTATTCCATGGGAATGTAAGGAAGACTAGTAAAGGCATGCGTGATAAGTAAGGCTTCTGCTGAGCTGTACAGCAGGACCCTGCTTGCAGGAGAAGGACCCCAAGGTCTAGTGGGCACGGGTGTACAACAGACCCACAATATAGCTACAAGGTCCTGGGACCCCAGAGACAAGCTAGGAGAGTCTTGGGGCCTGTGGCTTGAGACTTGCCAGAGTCCTTGTATAACAGGCTAAGTTCTTCCCAGCCTGAGGAATCCCATACATGGTACCTGACATAATATGAAAGCCAGCATCCTTATGACCCTTCCCCATAAGACTCCCAACCATCTCATGATTTGGAACCACAGACCCAAAGACTTGGGTCTGTGGACACCAGCAAGACCCACCCCAAACCAAGCCTCACCTGTTCTAGTACATCAACCCGGGCCTGCAGCCTGTACACCTCCTCTCTCACCATGCTGTCCACTCCTGGGGGCAGATCCAGGTGCTCGTCAGGGAGGGGAGGTTCCTGTCCCACGTAGGCCTGAGGGAGGCCTGTGTTCACTGCCACAGCTGTGGGAGCAGAGCCTGGAGACACGAAGCCTCTGGCTGTCTCAGGCCCGCTAAAGCTCACGGCTCAGAGCAGTCTCTGGCCACCCAAGTGCCAGCAGTGGTCCTTACCCAGGTCCGATGCACTCTTGGAGCTGGGCTGCTGACGGCGCATTATTACTCACGGTACGAGTTTGAAATGTCACAGCGCGTACCAAAAGTAATAATGTGCTGTCACCGGCAAAGACACGTCGTCTCCAGGCTGCCAGAGCCAGGGTGGGGCTCCTTTTCACTCAGTTGGCTGAGATGAGGGTCCCAGGTATGCCTAATGCTCCACAATGCCTTCTAGAAACCTCTTCAGGGGCAAGTGGCCCCTTCCACCCAGTCGAGGAACCTCCCTCCAGTCCAGGATGTCTGGAATCGGCCCTCACAGCATAGTGCTGGCCTCCACCCAGGGCTAGCTGCCCCTTGTCTTCCATGTTCGGCTCAACCACACAACAGTGCTCACAACCCAGCTCAGTCATAGCAGGTCAGAAAGGCAAGTTTACCTGCTGTGGGGTTTGGGGCCACCGGGGAGGGCCCCTCCTTAGACAGGCAGAACATCCCATCTGCAGATGGGCTTTGCCCCTCCCAACACTGGCACCAGTAACTTCCCACAGTATTGACACAGCGCTGGGGACAACTGGCCTCTCCTGTACTGCATTCATCCACATCTGTAAGAAATGAAGGTGTTAATCTAGTGTCTACAGAAGGCAAGGTCCTAGCCACAGAGCCCTGTTAAGATCCACCTATCAGTGAGAGCCCACTTCAGCCAGCAGTAACCTAGTATATACAAGGCACCAAGAAGACCCCTCAAGAAGAGTGGTGCTTACCTGTCTGGCAAGTATCTCCCTGCCATCCTACAGGGCACCGGCATTGGCCTGGGCGGATGCAACTCCCTCCATTCCCACATGGAGGCTGGCATACTGCTGTGGGTAGGAGAGGCCTGTCTGTCACCTGCTCAGGAGAGTCCCCAGAGCCCTGCAGCAGCCAGGGAAGGTTAGCCCTGCAGCAGCCAAGCACTACTTGAGGGGTAGAAGGCAGCAGGGACTCTGCTAGACAGTGGGAAGTGGAGTCCTTCACATCAGGCACAGTACACACTGTCCTCACCTGCTCCACAAGCCCCAGGGAGCCCGCTGGTCCTCTTCCAACCAGGGCAGCAGGCATAGCGAGGCCTGGTGAGAGTCAGCCCAGGGCTACGGCGATAGGCAGTCCGGTAGATGGTTCTGTGGTGAGTAAGGGCAGTTCAGAGGGGTTCCAAGCCTTCCTCAGAAAGGATGCACCCTGCCCACATCATTTGTTTGTGGACACCTGGCCAGCATCACTCCCAAGGGCTCAGAGGTTCCCTTCCCAAGCCCCAGCTCATTTGGGTCAGCATACAGGCCTGTGTGTGCCACTTGATCCACCAAGTTTCCTGAGTTAGCCTATGACACACAGATTCAGGGAATACAGCAGAGCTGGCCCCTTCCTGCAATGGCCACCTCAAAGCCAGCTGGAGCCTGGGTTGCTTTTCTTCCCTGGACTCTGGGCTGCTCTCTGGTACTTAAGCTGCTCTCTTGACTTTAGCACTCTGCTAACTTTGGAGGTCCAGGAGCCTCTGAAACCTGGCATTTTGAGCCTGGGAGGGAGCTCATGCACCTAGGCCTTTTTTAGGTACTTTGAAGGCAGGGAGGAGACTGAACTCCCCACATCAGAACAAGGACCTGCCGTCTTGGCTGTGTCCTGAGGCCATGTGCTCCACATGGACATCCACCCAGGGCCCTTATGGGGAGAGGGGATCCTGATGGGGCTCTAGGATAGGACCAGGATGACAAGGACTTGGAGGAGGTAAGCATTGTCCCTGTGAATAAGGACTTTCTAGCTAGCACTTCTGGGAAGGAAGGAGTAAACACTGAGGAGGGATGCAGACATGCTGAGAAACTTCTGTCCATATGGGATATGCCCTTTGAGGTGACATCCTCTCAGGGCAATGCTGGATGTGATCACACAGCATCCTTGGGTACCACCTTGATCCCTGATGTCAAGGATGCTTCACTGTTATGGTCTCAGCTCCCCAGCTCAGAGTGAGGCGGGTGCTTGGGTCCCGGGGACTGTTCCTGTTTGGGTGTGGCTTTCCTGTTTGGGTGTGGTGGAATAAGGAGTGGGCACTCACCGGTAAGTGCTGCAGGTTCTGTGTCCATCACAAGTGGTGAGGTAAGGTTGGTATACACGCTGCACAAAGGTCTCTGAGACAGTGGCTCTGGAAACTCCCACAGTACACACTCTACGACTACAGGGGATGGGGTCAGCTAGTGGTCTAGAGCCAGAACTCTTCCAGCCCAGGTATGTAGAAACATGAGGATTCTCTCCCAAGTATGGGGGCCTGCTGTGGGCAGAGCTGAGGGCCTCTGGTCATGACCACAGTACCCCAAGGCCCAAGCCCTTACTCACCTGGGTCTGTAGACATGCTCAGTAGTACCTGCTGCCAACACTAGAAACCATGTTACGAGTAGCTCTCTGGAGCCCCACATGGTCTGCATCTGTAAGTGGGGTAGACTTCTTCTTTTTGTGGCCTAAGGTAAAAGGTTGGATCCCGTCAATCTCCTATAGAACCCCTGGTCCAGGCCTCCAGCAGAGTCTGTACCCTTGGCCACCTCCTGGGTTCTGAGGCCACCCCTATCCCAGGGATAGCATCCAAAGGCAGTGCCAGTTCTCTCCTGTCTCCGGCCCATCTCTACCACCCAAGCTGGTCCCTTGTCAACCACAGAGAGCAGGCCTCCTGGGGCAGGAGGAACCTGAATCATGCTAGGGTCAGGGGCGAAACCCTGAGGTTCTGAGTGGGGCCCTTAGTGAGCACCAAGCCTGTCCTTCCCCAGCCTTCCCTGAGTGGGACTGAGGGCTGTCTATCTTCCACTGTCTGCAGTAGAATGCTGTGGGTGGAGCTAAAGCCAATACAGCAGGAAACTTGCCATCCTATGTGGCCCTTTGGGGCTTGGGGTCAAATGCTTGTCAAATACTTGTTAAGCCCCCAGGGCACTATGGATTTCACAGTATACAGATGTCAGCTACCTGTAGGTATACATGGCCATTGTGGGGTGTGACTATCCTGACCAGCAAGGTGATCTACAGCTCACGAGGGCACCACTCTTGGACTAAAGCTCGTGTACAAACACCTTCCAGCTGCAAGGGCAGTGGCCCTAATGTGCTTAATGTGTGGTCCTTGGGATGTCATGGACCCTCCCCCAACATGCATTTGGAGCCCATCTCCAGCCCTCTTCTGGCTGTGTTGAGGCAGGAAGGCTGGTGAGGAATGCAAGAAACCCTAGCCCAGACTTAAAGTCTGTGACCGTGCTGGAGTGGCTGGGTCAGACCTGTACAAAGGGAAGCTGTCTCACTGCCCTTCATAGAGTCAAAAGTGAGGAGGGGCTGACTCAAGGCTCTTCTCGGTGCTTCCTAAAGAGGCAGCTCCCCTCACCCACCCCAGATCCTGTACAACCCTACAGACCCTGAGAAGAAGAGGCCAGGAACTGTGTAAGTGAGCCCGAGCTAATTAATCCCTTGCTTTGAGACTCAGTTTTCTTAAAGACATCACTAGAGTATGGAAGCCCCTGTCACCATCAGTAGTTCTGGTAGTAAACTGTGGTGGCATTAAATGGTTTCTGAGTTCTAGCTGCTGACCAAGCCCCTCTTCAAGGAAAGAGCAAGATCCTTCCCACTTCTCAGAGCTACTCTGTCCATTCAGTCCTGTGCCACAGTCCTAAGTAGGAAGTAGCTGGGAGCCTCTTTCCTGTACCACCTATTTGTCAAAGTAAAGCAGGAAGGCAGTGGGCTCTGAGATGAGTAACTGAAATTTAATGTAAGAAGTGTCTGGACATCAGCGTCCACAGATTGGTGTGGAGAGACCAGACAGGCACAGCGACCAGATTCGGTGGAGGCGTTCTCTCCATGGCCTGGACCCTGCTCCCTCCCAGGCTAGGGAAATATCTAGGTAGGAGTATATGCTATAATCTGTCTGAGGTGGCTCGGAAAAGTTAACCCTGGAGTAGTGGGGAGGGCACCTTCAGTGGGTGAGAATTACCCTGCCAAGCAAAAACCAGGTGGTCCTGAGGAATAGTACCAAGGAAGATAAGTCAGCACGTGGCACGTTCAGGAGGGTGTCAAAAATCTACCATGCTTGTGTGCCTAGCCCCTGGGACCTGGAAGGTTTCTTTCCAGATGTCATTGCCCCCACAAATCTTCCTAGAGATAAGCTGTCTAGAAAGAGGACTATGTTTTAAAGCAAGAGACTCAATTTTTGAAAAGTCATGTTTTGCTCAAGGACAGAAGAGGCCAGAGCAGCACGGGACTGGAAGTTCCTTTCCTTTGGTGTTCAGGCACTGGGTGCCCCCTGGCACACATTAGGCATAGGCTGTGGTGTGGCCTGCAGGTTGACAAGTAATCTTGAATCCTCAAGTTATCACCATGGGCCCTACCAGCTATCTCCCCTCCCCACCTACGGCTCAACAGCCCCGTACGGGGTGGGGGAGGGGCGCTGGGTCGGCAGAGGAGGGACTTGGACACATAGGGAGAGGGCCCTGGGTCCCTTTGCTACAGAAGTGTCTGGATATCAGCGCCCACAGATTGGTGTGGACCAGACAGGCACGGTGACCAGATTCGGTGGGGGCGTCCTCTCCATGGCCTGGGCCCTGCTCCCTCCCAGGCTCCACGGCGGTAGGGGCAGGGTGTGGCAACCTTCACCCCAGACCCAGGACGACCCGACTGAGCTATACAGTGGGGTGTTGTGGCCAGATGGAGGTCATATAGCTAGAATGGGTAAAGGGAGAGGAGCCCAGGCTGCCGGCAGGGGTCGCCATTTCTCAAGGCCGCTGGGCTCATTCTCCCGGCGGTCGTAGGACCTGGGCTAGGGCGTGGGGTCCATCCCAGCCGCGGCCCCCGCGCGCTCACCTCTAGGGTCCCTGCGATCGCTCAGAGTCGTCTGAGTGGCCACCCCCAAGCTTGGCACCTAACAGTCCGGGTCACCCCGGCCCCGCCAAGGCTGCCTCCATACCCTCGCCCCCCCCTCCCCCACACCCCTACCCCTGCGCTCCTGCTACCTCCACACTCACCGCGCGGTCCGGCGCGCACGCGCCGCCACTGCCGCCGCCGCGCTATGGGAGACCGAGTCCCGTCCCGCCCCGCCCTCGGCCACGCCCCACCTGGTGGCTCTGCGGGAGCCCTACCCCGCCCCACGGGCTCCCCCCGAACTGTCCATCCCCATTTCGCGGATGAGAAAACTGAGTCTCTGCAGCAGCAGTTCCCGAGTGTTACAGTGAGTAAGTCAGACCCGGTGCTCTAGATGCAATCCAGCCTCTAAGTGCTGCCGCGAGAGCCCCCTTCGTGCATTCTGACTGCCTCCAGCCCTGCAGAGGGATCACGGGGCTGCTGAGGAAGTAGGGTTAAACAGGTTCTAGGAGTCAGAGAGCCACGAATGGTTCCCACAAGGACTTGACTAACTCTCAGCCTCCTGACTGATGACTTGCTCCTGAATGGTATTAGAAGCCATGGAAGCGGCATCATGACACACCTAGCCACAATACTAGGCTGAGATCACTGGGCAGAGTACAGATGAGATCTAGGTGTGACCACAAGCCTCCTTGGCAGCCGTGGGCTCTCTCCTGACACCCCTTGGCCACTTTCACTGGTGTCACTGCCTTATTTGAGACAGTCAGGACCACCCCTGGTGCTCCTAGGAGCTGACAGCCCTTCACCCCCAGACTTCTGGATTGGTCTTCTTTTCTCTCTCCCAGTCTCCATTTCTGAATTAGTTCTGCAACTCTGCTGCTTCTGTAATTGTCCCAACTCTTTGGGTACCTGAGCCTTATCAAGCCATGTCTTGGTTAACACATGTTCCTGTGCATGCCCCCTGCAAAGCAGGGCTCCTGGCTGCTGTCCAGAAGGTTTACTGGGGACTCACCTGTGGTCCAGCCTCTAGTCATCCCCTGGGGACTGGTGGCGACTGTTCTTATGGGCAAGTGGAACGGCCAGCGCCTTGCTGTTGCTGCCAGAGGCTATGGGTCAGAAATGGAGTATGAGTTGGGGCCTTGCTTTCTTCTCTCATGTCTGGGGGCTGGGAAGAAACCTGGAGTCCAGACTTCCATAGAGCCATGGTATTTCAGTCTGCTCTCTACCTACAGATGCTCCCTGTATCCCCGTCATGTCCCAGTTTGATTTGGCCTTCAGGATCTGCTTGCAGAAATAGCCCCTGACAACAGAAACACAGGGTACCCTAGCTAGCTATACTGTTGACTCCACCTTCCCACCATCTGTCAAATCTGATCTCTAACCGGGCAGTGGTGGTGCACGCCTTTAATCCCAGCACTTGGGAGGCAGAGGCAGGCGGATTTCTGAGTTTGAGAGTTCGAGGCTAGCCAGAACTACAGAGTGAGTTCCAGGACAGCCAGGGCTACACAGAGAAACCCTGTCTTGAAAAACAAACAAAAACAAAACAAACAAACAACAAAAAAACCAAATCTGATCTCTACCTCCATCTCTGAGCTCTGTAAAGACAGGTAAGAACCCTACTGAATAGAACTGATGACCCCTCCCCTTCTGAAGCTGAGCACAGTGTACAGAACCTGTACACTAACAGACAAGGCCTAGCAGCTCTGAGCTCTGGCCCACCTTGTTTGTGCACAGACGCTGAAGGGAAGGGTTCCTGGACAATGCCTCTCCTCTGTTCAGTGGCTACCACCCTGCACTAGAGATCCTTCTGGCAAATGGGCCTGTGCCCATTGTTGTACATGGGTTCCTGGGTCTCCTGGCTCTCTAAGCCCATGCACAGCATCTGTCACTTAGTCTCAGTCCTAACGAGCTGCCTCTGAGAGGGAGGCACCTGCACAGCCCTCGCATTGTCCCATTTTGGTTTCTGGAGCTGTGGTCACTTGAACCTTTGGCCAGCCATTCCCTCTCCCTGTCTGTTGGGCAGAAGGCAACTTGGGTTAGCTATTTACTGTCCCTCTGCCTTCACTGAGGCTGAAGGTAACCAGATTCTAGTCTGGAGAAGGTGTACTCCCAGAGATGCTACTGACTGAGGGGATGGGGTTGGTCAAGAAGCCTCACTGGGTTTGGAGCTGGAGATAGGGAGAGGGAGATCAAAAGGCTTTACTAGAAGATAAGATAGACTGACAAAACCACCCAGGTAACCCCAATGCACCTCAGGAAGCTGTTCCTAAGCCTAAAGCCCACAAGAGACAGGCTCATCCTAGCCCCTGATCTGTGCCCCCCGACATGCATGGCTCATCCAGGTTACAAACGTGACTTCAGGGTTCCCACTCTAGGAGCTGATTCCTGCCCAGCACCCCCATTCCCTAGAAATACTTACTTGACCCCAGCAGAATGGAGGACATAAGCCCTGACCTCAACCCTGCTGGGCTGAGCTCTGATGGCTACCCAGGGGATCCTCCAAAGAGGAAAAGAGTGGGCCAGTAGGTGGGTTGGGTGCCAAGCTGCTCTCAGCTTCTCCCTTCAGGGGTTGTTCTATGCTGCTGGGAATCCAGGGGTGAGGTGTAGAGCCCAGGCACAGCTACCCAGAGCAAGTGCTGGGCCACAGGCCCCTATGGTCTCCTCTGCTAGATAGGGATGGCTAACAGTGAGGACAGCTCCCAGTGGAGCAGACCCACATCCAGCTAATGGATGCCACAGCCATCTATTTGAGTTCTGGGGCACTCAAGGCTCCCTCTGCCCACTTTCTACCCTGCAGCACCATCCTGCATACCTGATGCCGCCCAGGCCTGGCCAAGGCCTCCTCTTCTGCCTCCATGAGCCAACCATGCAATTCACCCTGCCCTTCAAGGGAGTGTCTGCTGGCCAAGGCCCCTCTTGAGGTCTGCATGCCTGTCCTGTCAGCCGAAGCCTTCCTCGTGGCCTGCATAGCAGCCTGCTAGTGCACTGAGGCTCCTCCTGGGCGAAGAAGGGTGGCTTTTTATGCTCCATCCCGTGTAAATCAGGATTGGGATGGGCCCTTCCCGCCGGACTTCCTGTGTGTGTTCTCTGCTGATAAAGGGGATCCGTCAGCGAACAAACAGGAGGCCAAGGGGCTAAGGGGGTCATTAAGGGAGGGGGCTGGCCTAACTGTGGAGGAGGGGGTTGTTGTTCCCTTAGGACTCCAGGGTCTAGCCCTGAAGCAGCCAGAGACCCTACCTATGTTCAGGGGCAACCTAGCTTGTAACAGTATGAAGCAGAGGGTGTGACCAGGACCTTCCACTTCCACAGAGATAGTGGGACCACAAGACATTCATGCAGGTGACAGAAGTAGCCTTCTGCTTCTTTGGGACACAGGAGCTTGGACCTTCCCTAAATGTGCATGACACAGGTACCTGAAAGCAAAGCCTGCCCCACTGCCATGACCAGGGAGGAATGCTGGTGGCGAGCACTCAGATGTGAGCTGGAGTGGGCAAGGCAGGCCAGATAGTCTGATGGCCAGCCTACTCCGTGGATCCAAAGGCCCAGGACTGGGCCAAACACCAGCTCAACCTCAGCTCAGACACTCCTAGAAGCCAGGCTTTCCTTCCAGGGCAGCTCCCCGGGCTGCCAGTGAGCACCCTGACTCCATAGGTGTGCAGATGGAGCTGAAAGCCTGCAGGCTCAGTTGACACAGGTGCTAGGGGATGCCTACCCCTAAGACCTGGAAGCAAAAGTCCTCCTAACCTCTCCTCCCTCCCTTATCCCTAGCAGGCTATGGGAAGGAGAAGGTCTTTCAATGGGGCTCTATAATTCCCTAGGGGCCCAGATCCCAACAGTGGAGAATTCGGGCCAGGCACACAGACTCCATAGAAAGGGATGATAGGGAGAAAGTGCCAAGGATTGGGCCGCTGCCAAGAACATGCCCAGACCTCTGTAACCGAGGGCACCTAGAGCAAACCTTTTCCCCCCAGGGCTGAGCTTGCAGTATCGGCCTTACATTGGCTCAGCCTGCCTGATGATGCCTTGGGCACCTCCTTTCTGCACCCTGCCTCTTTCCCACCCCACTCAGCTGGACAACTTGGTCTGGGATGGAGGTGGGGCAGCCTGGGAGCTTCCTGGTGGACCAATGAGTTGGAAGTGCTGCCCCCACCCTTGCTTCATATCCTCAGCACCCTCCCTCCAACATGGCCTGTGGTGGAGGCTACTCTAGTGCTCATCCTGTGTACTGGGAACAAGGCTCCGGCTAATTAAGATACTTTACTTCTCTTCTCAGAGCTCAGTTTCCCCGATTTGTCCCAGGAGGACCAGAGAGTTCTTGTTCAATAGAGCCGTGATGATTGAAGGGGCTCATGGCATTCAAATGTTGGTCTCAGGGTCTAAAGATTGTTCTTGGGTTTTCTTGTCCTAAATGCATACCTGATAGGTGGAGGCCCCATTCCCACCTCTTCTTTCAGTCATACAAACTACCCACACCATCAGCCCTCCATTGGCTTGTTCTGCTTGGCCTCTGTTTCCACCCAAGGGCTTATCCTGTCCACAAGGGCCAGAGTATCTCACCAGTAGTGGGAGTCAGGTCAGGTAGGCTATGCCCACAGCCCTAGAGATACCCCTGTATCATGTTGCCTAGGCCTGCCCTTCTCTGTCCTAGCTCCTTTCCCTCATCTACAAAAGATCAGCAAACATTGGTCTGGCTAGATCCAGATCCTTTTGCATACTGAAAGGGAACCTGAGGCTCAGAGAGGGAAGGGACTTGGCCAGGTGACTAGAGGTAAGAGAGGTTAGCTCAGGAGCAGAGCCCTCTTTTCCTCAGGGGATTCAGATCAGTCTAGGAAACCAGTCATAAGACTGGCTATGCCAGCAATGGCTGAGGGTTGCACAGTTGTGGTCCAACAGTTGTGTGTAGGGAAATTACCAGTGTGGAGGGAGGACTCCAAACCAGAGCCACATGGAGACCTGTGAAGACCCACAAGCCAGTGTGCATAGTTTTGCTAGTCAGTTGCCCGATGGTATGCATGCATCATGCCTTGACTATTCTGCCTTCCCCTGCCCCTACCTGACCAGACTGAGACCTACCTAAGAAAAGAGATCCTTGGTTCAGAGCCTCAGAGTACCACGTCAGTCCCATCATGGGACCTGACTCACAGGCATCCTCAATCCCAGAGACAGATACAGAGGGCAGGCTGACAGAGGGCAGATACAGGAGTCTCACCTTGACACTAAGCATGTCAGAGACAGAAAAAGGAGGAGCCCCAAGGGGAGGAGGCACTGATTGACAGTCCCTGGAGCTACAGAAGGAGCTGTGGTATAGGGAGGTGCTCAGAGACTCTCCTCTCCACACCCGAAGTGCCTACTGCTTCAGGCCTCTCTTCACTGGTGGCACTTGCTTACTGTCATTGCAATTTGGAAGGAGTCAGGGCCACTTCCTACTTGGGCAGCTATCACTCATTGCCACTAGGATGCCCCATATACCCTTCGTTTCCCACAACTCCTACAGATTGGAGACCAGATGAGCAAGGCCAAGAGTCCCATGCTGATTGAAATGGCACTAAAGGCAGGAACCGCTAGAGTAGGAAACTGAAGTTCTTCACCCCACACTGTGCCTCAGTTTCCCCATATATCTCAACTACCTTCTAGCCTACCTGTGAATGCTCTGAGGTTAATGGTTAAAGGAACACAGTTGTCTTACCTTCCCACAAGGAACAGGGACAGGGGATGGGCAGAGCCTCCCTGGTCTCCCAGGACTCTCCTTGGATCCCTCACCACTGAACTTCTGGCCTCTGCAGCTCTAGGAGAGGAAAGACCCAGGTCCCAGCAGAGACCTTCATGGGCATCTTGAACAGTGCAAGGCCGAGGGGCGGCAGGCCCAGGCGTATGAGCCAGCTGCACCTCAGGAAGAAAAGAGCAGCGCACTGCATAGCAGAGCGATGGGCTTCCTGTTTATCTCCCAGCTTGGTGGTTGGCCTAGGGACAGGATGGCTCTGTCAACCAAAGCTGGGCCTAACTTCCCATCAAAGGATGTGCCTGGCTGAATGACCAGTCCTCATTGAGGGCTCTAAAGGATGTGACTGGGCAAGGTGCTGCACGGACCGATAGTCCACCACGGAGTTAAACAGTGAAAAGGGAGTTTAGAGAGAGAGAAATAGGGTCTGTGGCATGAGCTGAGTTTCCATTCCCCTCCTCCCCCATTCTCTCCCTTCATCAGGCATCACAAGTTATGGATGTCTGTCTAGTGCATCCAGTTTCCAAGGAGACAGCCTTTCTCAGAAGCTCACAGAAGTAAACCAAAAGATGGTGAACCAAGGCCCTGCAGAGCCCAAGCATAAGCAGTGTAGGTTGCCAGGAGACATTGCTGGGGGACACTTGGCCCTACTTCCCCACAGCTCTCTTCCTGGAGACCACCACACATCCTCGCTGACCCTGCTGTGCACTCCACTCAGTGTGGAAGCCAAAGGTAAGAACTCTCCATGACCTCCCTATTCGGCCCTCAGGGTGTTCCGCGGCAGGGGACTGCTCCTCACTCAGCTTCTACTATCGCCCCCAAAGCTGTCCTTCTAAAATGACGCAGGAATTGCCACCCTTTTCCTGCCACTGTTCCCATTCTGAGAGCCATCAAGGCCCTCCTGGACCTCAGTCCCTGCCCAGCATGCTCATGTCTCATAAAGCTTCACAGGGGTGACATGAGAACATGTCTACCTCTAAAGATTTTCTCCACATTCAGGACAAAGTCCCATGGGTTACACACATGGGTCCTTCCCCACCCTCCAAGAAGCAGGACAAGGACAGGGGACCTTGAGGGAACAGAAGCAGTTCAGGACAGGTGCAGACAAAATAAAGCCCCCACCTGTGTGGTGGCCACTTGGCACTATAGTGATATAGAGACTGCAGGCATGAGTACTTATGCAAACACAGTCCTGTTACCAGTGAGTGACTGGAGACAGAGCCCCATTGACACAGCCCGGGTTGCCCATTATCCTGACCACTCTAGGCCCATGGTATGTCATAAGACTCACAGGTACTGCTGTTACTGTGGCTGCTGCATCTCCCCACTTCAGGTCATGGTATAGTCCATGGGAGCATAGTGCAGCATTTGCCCATATGCACTGCTACACTCTGTGGGGCCTCTCAGAACCCAGGATTCTCCCAGACCTAAACACTTATGCATTCTTTGTACCTGGGCATCTTTGAGGGCTTACTGATTCCAGGAAAGGCAGGAAGCCAGTGACTCTTTCCTTCATACTCTTAGCAGGCAGTCTGCAGACTGCTATCATTTTAGCTGTTCTGGTGAGTGTGCTATGGCATTGCATGTTACTGCTTTCTTGGTATCAGGACTTGAGCAACAGGATTCCACCCTAGGGAAAGATTCATTTCCTAAGCAGATTCCTTGACTCCTAACGCGGTGCTGGGCACCCAGGAGGAGCAGGCCAAAGTCTGGAATCCTTGGCAGAAGCATCATAAGAGCCCCAAGGGAGGACAGAGGTGTTATGGACTGGACTGGGAAGAGGTGGGGGAAGTCTCTGGGTAGCTTCTTTCTGGGATCTTGGCTCCTCCTACCCCAATTTGCTGAGCTTCATGGACAGGCAACCTAGCCCTTAACAACAGGGAAAACATACTGTATCTCCAGGGTGCAAAGGGAAGTCCCCAAGAATTCAGGTCCTAGGTCTGGTCAGTGGAAGTGGGTGTTGGGTCAACACCCCAGCCTCCATTTAGAGCCACCCTGTCCTCTTCTGCTCTCCCTGGTAGAAGAACCACTGTGAGCACTCACAAGCAGAGAAAAAGAGAAGCTAGGAAGGCAGTCAGGCCTGCCAAACAGACCCTGTGCTACTTGCCATGTCTAGAGGAGGGGCTGTCTCAGTACCCTCACCAAAGCCCCAAGGGAACATCTGTTTGTGGTCACAAAGCTGTCTAGACTGCCAGGACTGAAGCTTTGCCAGGCTCTGCAAGGGTGGAGTAAGGGGGCCATCTCTCTCCCAGGTGACCACCAGTTTGCCACAGTGGTCAATGGAGGCACGGATCTCTGGGAGATGATGAGTGAGTGTCCACCTTGTGAGGCAGTTTTGGGCTTCCATTGAGTTTCCCCATACTCCAGGTCAGAATGTAGAGAGTATCAGGGGGGTGCAGATCTTCAACCACTTCATAGTACAGACTCATGGCTCCAAATGCAGGGGCTGGGTGGCGGCCCTAAGATTCCTCTTGCCTCAAGCACCCATGCTGTTCAGCTTCAAGCTGTCTACTCTTGTTATTTTTAATATCCTTTAAAAGCTTGGGGGTAGGGGAGTAGCCATCTGTGGCCCGCCAGAAATCTCTGTTTCCTCTGGGCCAGGAAACAGGAAGTGTGTGTGTGGTGGGTGATGGGGAATCAGGCCTGAGAACAATGGAAACACCATCGAGGGGAAGGGGAACTACGTCAGGGCCTGGGGCTGCAGGAAGCCTGACCTCGCCTTCCGTGAGCCTGAGGGGGCCTGGCATAAATTTAGCTTGAGTTCTTTTCCTGAGGAAAAGCTCAAAGGCTCCGTGATGGGGGAGGGGTAGAGAGATTGATTTCAGTCTTTAGGAAGTCAGGGCTCTCTTCAGCTATGGATAAACGGAGGCTCAGATGGGAGAAGAAGCTGAGGCTTCACGGTTCTGAGGCATTAATGACCCTCTTTATCCACCTCTCCACTAGCAAGAGTCAGACAAGAGTCTCCTGGAGCTGCTGCTCCCAGCCCAGCCCGGTTCTGTCACTGTAGCAGTATGTCTACAGGCAGCACAGGTCACCTAACAATCCTACCTTCCGAGTTCTTCAAGGATGCCAACTCTGGCTGCCATGGTGTGGCAGGGATATTGGGGGTGAGCACCACTAACAGAGAGTCCTGGGTTCCTTGTAACACTGTTCATAGCCCTAGGCAGCCTGGGAAGAGAGCCCCATGAAGGTCCAGGCTGGGGCTCAGCAGATAACTTCCTCTATGTAGTGTAACAGCTTAACAAGAGGATGTTCACAAACACAGTCCACCTGTTAATATGTAGGACTCAGTGTGCTGGGAACTGTGCTGGGAACAATCAGAGCTTGTGTGACCGTCATCACCCCAAGTTCTAGAGTCCTGTCACTACCTCAAGGGAGCTCCAGTTATGACAATTGCCAGACCATTCTCACCTGTCTGTCTCTAGGATCAAGGACTGGATCCCCATCGAGACAGTACTTATGATGTCCACCTTCTTTCCCAGTGTAGTTCTGAGCTTCCTCCAAACCATAGCGAGAATCACAACTTTCCGTGGCTGAATCATATTCTGTTGTATGGTTGGAACACATGTTGAGTGTCCATTTATCTGTAGACCATGCCCTCCTTTAGCTGGTTTGAACCTGGTGCTGTGGTTTTTCAGACCATAGTCAACCTTTTGTGACAGTGCATATGGACTGAGAGGCCAGCATCAGTATTTGCATCTCTTGAAGGACTAGACCCAGCTGTTTTCCATAGTACTGCCCCATCTACTTCACATGGCCTCTGGCCAACTCCGGGGGATCTGGAGGAGCTAGTGAGGATGGGGACATTTGGTGGGGACAGTACACCATTCTATCAGAATGTCTGTCCAGGGCTTAGAGTGAGGAACATGGGAGCTGTTGCTGCTGTGGCCTCCTCTGGGCCAGGCATGATCTCTACCCCACCCCACCACCCCTGTGAAGCTCTTGAGGCCTGGGTCAGATCCCTCAGCTTGCTGTAGTTGGGGCACAGAGACATACAGAGGAGAAGCTAGCCTGAGCCCCTGGCCTGGGACAGGCAGAGTAAACTGGGCAGGGCCTGTGACCTCAAGTCTACCTCTAGGAAGGGTGAGCAATACAGCAAGGAATCCTAGCACCCAGAATCCTGGTGGGAGTCACCTAATGGGGTATCATATCAGGGCTGGGTAAGCATACTGACGCACGAGCCAGGCCCAGAGCCCTGGATAGGTGGGCCAGGAACAGGGCCCTAGAACCAGCCTCTATCACAGCTCCAAGGGCCAAAGACATGAAATGTCCTTCTACAGACCTCAGAGGGACAAATTTTAGCAGGGAACTACAGTGGGTAAGCTGGCCTGGCTAGGACCCTACCTAACCTAACCCCCAAGAATGATTCCTGGAAATTTTGTCTTTAGGAATTTCTTTTCCTTTCTGTTCTGCCTCGGACTCCAGAGCAGCGGTGGCCCTGCTGGCCATGATCTCTTCACCTTGGTTGGAGGGACCAGATCCTGTGTCAGGACAACACCAGGTCCAATCAAGCTGTGCTCAGGGTTTCCCTAGGCCCCTGGGAACCCCAGCTCCCTGTGCACTCTGTCTTTGTCTCAGGGAATGAATGCTAAGTCCACATTCACTCAGTCTTTATACCACATGGAAGTGGGGAATGTCCAAACCCTTATCACGCCAGGAGGGAATCATGGCTGAGGAAAAGGCCAATGTTTACTCAACCATACAACAGTATATTCAAAGTCAGATTAGAACACAAGTCCCTGAGCTATGTCTGACTAGTGCTGCTGTTCTCTGACTTCTCTGAGCTCCTGGGATTCAAGTACTAGGTAGGCTAAGCCAGAAGCTCTGAGAACAGGTCTCCTCTATGTCTCCAGCATGGCTTCCTGGGCTCCTCCAGTGTCCTCTGCCCTGATATTTCTCTCTTCCCTTGCCTTGAGCATGACCAATGAAGATGGTCCTGCCATTGGCTTTGCCAGGCAGAAGTGGGATGCCTAGCCTTTAATCCCTAGTAGTCACTGTGCACAAGGAGAATCCCTCTCAAGCCCAATGCCATTCCACATGACCCCTTCTGGACTTAGCCAGGATGTCCCCAAAGCCCCTCCCCCACTATCACCCTTTTCTGAAGATCACAGCTTCCTGAGCCAGCTCTAGTCTTGACAATGCCCGGAAATTCCTGCCTCAGGCTTCAGGGTCAGGCACATGTGCTCCAGGAGCAGTGGGGGACTGGTGAGTTGGGG